CCCAAAATCGATAATCTACTTCCCCGAAAGTCGATAATCTACTTTCCTGAAAAGTAGATAATCTACTTTTCAGGAAATGAATTATCTACTACAATAGATTATCTACTTTTAGGGAAAGTGGATAATCAGGACTCTTAAACCCATCCCTGCATCCAACTTGGAGCAGTCGATGTAAATAGGGATAGTCCTTCTGTGAAAAGAGACATGCTGTAAACAAAAACAAAAGAGAATGAATCACATAGGAAAGGAGCAAGTCCTTCCTTTCTTTAAAATACTGACAAACTTGAACTTCAGAGAGAATCGTGAAGCAACATTAAGGAACTGCATGGGGCATATATCTGAACGGGAGGAAGACCAGTTCACAGCCTCCCTTACCCTGAAGTCAAAAGGTGGCGGAAGGCTTGGATGCTGAGTACAGTATAGTGTGGGGACATTGTCTTGTCAACTGCATAATGGTTACATACTAAGGATATTGGCGCTGAAATCAAGGGGTGGCTCATAAGCGTCAACTAGTAGACTTGGGATTGGCAAGGACCTGAGGGCACCAGTTTCCAAGACACCCCAGCATCATGAATGGAGTTCAGTGTATTGAGTGTAGCCTCAGTAGATGAGGAGTACACCTCACACCCATAATCCAGTTTGGGTCTAACTAGCATGTGGTAAATGTGGAGCAGAGCTCCTCGGTCATAACTACACGACGTGTGCTCCAAGACTCAATAATTTCATAGCACGTCGGCAAGACTCTTTGAGGTAACGAATATACGGCTGCCACATAAGCCGGTTGTCGGTGATAATGCCCAAGAAGCGGGTCTCTGTGACACAAAACGACCCGTGAGCTGTAGATCGGCATTGGGATGAACAGCTCGGAGGCGGCAAAAATGCATGGCAACGGTCTTCAAAGGCGTTCAGCCACTGACATATGGGAAGTTAGCCCTAATGGCCGGTGCCTACATACTCCTGCCCTGAATCACGGTGAGATCCAGCCCCAGAAGATGGTTGGTTCTGCTCCCAGAATAGGGTAGGTTCCAACCCAGAACAGGGGAGGATTACTCCAGAATAGGATAAGTTCGCCCAGAATAGGGTATGATTCCGCCCAAAATATGGTAGGATTCTGTTCCAGGACGCAGTGCTTAAGGGTCATAAGGGAGTAACCAGGGTTCTTCAGGGGTGGTAGCTCCCAGGGACAGGGCGGTGGCACCAGTGCGAGCTCTTCAAGGGTTCTTGTGCCCCAGGGACTCTTACATGGGCAGCAGAGCCACCAGGGGGACTCTTTTGGGGTGACGGTGAACCCAGGGGCTCTGCCAGGGACGGTGACGCCCACAGGGACCCTCAGAGTTGACACGCCCAGGGGTATACTGGGCAAAGTGTGGAAGTCACATAGACTAACAGTCCATACCAATGCCAAACTGAGATTATATACTTCACTGGTAAGACTCGGTTTGGTATCTGGAAGTGAATCTTGGTATAATAATGACATTTTATCCACAAGATTCCCAACTTTCGAGAATAAGGCATTGAAAATTTTTAACATAAGATGGCGTGGGTATTAAAAACAAAGGCGATAAGAGAAGTCACAAATGTTCCCGATTGCGATGAATGGCTGATGAAGAATAGATGGAGGTGGCTGGGGCGTTCTGCATGTCGTCCGGATAAGTATTGAAAGCGTTGAGTGGAGAGTGGGCGAACGAAGGCAAAACCTCGTGGATCCAAACTATAAGAAGGAGACAGAGGACAAGTTAAATACAACCATGGAAGGCTCCAAGATCAAAATGGCACAAGCAAAATGTGGAGGCCCTGTGACTGAGTAATCACCCACCCTGACATTGAGTCAGGTCAGATCAGTCCCCCAAAATACTTTAACTTTCATCTTTATTCAAAACATTGTCAGAAAATTCTCTCTATTTTCAACCTCGGAAAATTTTTTCATAAAGCCGGACATTTTTGGAAAATTCCGGCTTTGTTGTTTTTGAATTCCGGCTATAGGAGATTTCCAGGTTTGAGGGATTCCGGAACTCTCCTATAGCTTCTAAGTGACCTGAAAACCCTACTGGAGTTGCTATAAACCCAAAATATAAAGAGTATCCTCTGTGCAGAAGGTTGAAATATTACTGAAATTAGACCGTGTCTGTTTGTGGAATCTGTGGTGTCGGTTCCTCAACAATTTATAATTAAAAAGCAGAAAGATTAATTCCTTAAGTACTATGTGGACAGTAACAAAGGGCAATGGAAAGTATAAACACATGATATCAGAAACACAAAGATTTAGAAAAAAGTGCTTGATGCAGTGGTTTCATAAGTGATAACCCCCCATACTTTGCTTTAACAGTACGGTCCAGGTTATCGATCCCATTAACCTGTATAAATGGAGTTTTTCGTAACAAGAAATACTGACGTCAATTTAAGAAATTCATATAAGCTTATTTTCATACCTCGAACATTCATATCTCGTGATACCAACAGTCAGCATAGCAGTGTAAAATTTGGGTAACTTTTTCAGTTACTGATACAATTTACCTGATACAATGGATGAGTCATTCACTTTACCTTGTAAAGTATAAAGATTTTGCTTTTCACAAAATGCTCCATATTAATTGACTCAAATTGCTTTCTACATGATAAATAACTTTAAACAAATTAAATACTTACTCAATTACAAGGAAGAATAACAATGAATTTATTTTTAACTTTAATCATACCAAAATTTATGTACAGACATTCATTAATATATTTCACTGTATAACTTCAATACAGTAGACAAATCTGAAAAATGTGTTTAAAAAAAACACAAAATATATCTACATTTATAATAAAAGTCTGATTACGAGTTCACTTACAGCCATTATTCACTTCTTTAACTGTGTCGCTCTTTCTTCTGTGGATCCTCAAGATGAAAGTTAATTGGTTTATCATATCCATAACGTCCATAATGCTCAAGCTCTTCAAACATGCTTGGATCAACAAATAATGGTTTATTTTAACAGTAGAATGTAGTAAACATCCCCGGAACTTCTGGTACTGCCACATCATCAGCGCTGAAGTGAATCTGTTAGAATGTATACAAGTTGTTTTAAGTAAACAGCTCAAAAAAAATGAAAATTAAGTGAGTCTTGTTGTTGCCAGATGCCACTTTCTGAATGAACGTTTCTAAAAATCGTGAGAGCGTTTATTTGGGCGATTGTACACTAACTTGTATCATATGCTGTTGTTATTGTTGTCTATAACTTTAAGTTTTAATGTTACAGTGTACAGGTAAAGCTACTTTTAGAGGTGAATCAAGACTTTGCAGACAATTACAGAGGGTTTACTGCTCATTTTATGACTGCTGCTGATTGAAAAACCCTACAGTATCCATTAATCCCCAAGTCCCAAGCATGCAGGATAAAAAGTCCCATACCTGTACTGTAACTCCTTCAACAACCTCAAATGACAAATTTTGCTCAAGTATAATTAATTATAAGTAAATTCCCTACTGCCTGCAGTTGACACTTGCAGTCTGGTAGTCAAAGGGCAAAATATTGAAAGAAAATGCACACTGTATGTGTATTAGCAGCATGCCCTAATTTTTTTGTGGTCAGAATGACCATAAGGTGAACTCTGGCAACACACAAAACAAGGCTTTTTGGCTATGAAGAAACATTGTAGATTTTATAATGATATCCATTTCATAATCAAGACTGGACTGAACTGGCTTGTATCATGTAACCAGCCAAGTCTACAAGGCTAAACCAGACTAGGTCCAGAAGATAGTGGCAAGAAACTAATAAAATGATTAGCAAGGCTTTCAAGCTACTAACAGAGCATTGAAAAGTGGTCTTATAAATAAGTGTCATCATATAAAGAAGTGTAATGCATGTTAACCCATCAGCAGTTTGCATTATTCCAGACCTGTATGTATACTGTACAGGTAAATCACTACTTGCAATGGGGTTAGGTTCCTGAAAACTCCATCACAGGTCAAAATATTGTAAATCAGTTTCACTATAACATGGGGTTCAATGGGCTAGGTTACTGGCGATGGGATACCAATATGTGTCACCGAAAAAATTTCCTAGAATAATACTAACACTACAAAACTCACACATCATTAAGAACAAGTCTAGTCATCATCACATGTCCTTCAAAGCTAAGAGGGATTCTTAAGTGGAGTGGAGACATCAACCTGAGTCCCACACAGACTTTGGGGAGTCTGAAGAGTGAGGACTGGAGGTGTAACCTTTGTCCTGGCCTTGAAGATAGTGAGCCATCTTACTAATATATGGACTACCTGTAATTGCTTTAACTGGATAGTGAGGGTGAAAACCATCGTCATCTCAAGTGGAAAATAAATAGGTCTAAAATTGGTTTCACCTTTTGGAAGTTTTCAATATGGCCAAGATTACCATCACCAAATTATGGCCATCTTCTATGTTTGTGTGGGTTAGCTGTGATTACCTGATGGGTTCTTCAAGATGCTGTCTCTTTCAGATTCTCTTGTTAGGTGCTCATCTCTGGTTATTTTCAAAGTCTCTCCCCATGTCATTCTTGGGCAATTTCTAGCCAGGCTCATCCCCTTCACATTTAAGCTCATACATATCTTGGCCCAATAAGTATCCTCCATTCTCTCCATATGCCTGGACCACCTCAGCTTACCTAACACAAACCTCAGCAATAAAATCTATACCCAGCTGTCTTTTAGCTCTGATCAGGTTCTGATCTCTCAACATGACATTGCAGATCCATAAGCCATCCTCTTTAACTGAAACACAACACAACACTTTTATGCTGTGGGTCATTCGACCTGTAAATTTCGTAAAAAAATAAAAATAAAATAATAGTAAAAAAATAAAAAGCTCCTAAACTTCTTCCAGACACTTCTGACTCTTGCAACTAGCTAGCTGTAGCACCACCACAGCACTGACCATGTCACCCACGTAGCAATTCACCGACTCAATTCAAGGGATATATCCCCAATGTCATGCCTCTCCACTCTTGTTAAGGCCACCACGATTACCTGCACACACAGCGCCCTTACGGTTGCAGCATCTTGCAGACTATCATTGATAACACTGCACTTATGTGGATCCCATTCACTCACTGCATATTACTGAATTACTGCTAATCACCCGTTTTACAGACAGCATATTGTCATCCTTTCTATTAATCATTATTTTAGTGTTTTCCATGTTTACTCTCATAAGCTCTGAATCAGTCCAGCCTTCCATTTTTAAATATCTCCTTAATTCTAAGTATCAACACTAAGTCATCCATTTACAATTTCTCCAGGGTAGACCAGTCCTAAAATATTGAGACAGTGCCTCTACTATCATGATAAACAGAAGAGGATTCAAGACATGCCCTTGATGGGCCCAGAGTCATGTGAGAGGGATATGGTTCTCCACGCTACTGACACCACTGGATATAAGTATGTAAACCTAAATCTAAGTGTGGATGTAACTATATATTCAGATGCTGCAATATGAGAAGAGCCCCATTCTTAAATTATGAAGGCAAATTAAAGTGCTAACCTGTACAAAACAAATTTATACACAGCAATGAATTAGGTAGGTATATCTTTCTACATATGCATTACCTTTTTCTGCCTCAGGAAGAACGATAGAGTGGTGGCTGAATATATATCCCTCTTGGGGTCATACTCCAAACTAGTCACATACTTCTTTGTGATCCAGTGAATGATTAATGGTGTTACAAAGGTGAAGAATCCAATAAAAGAACCAACAGCCAGTATCACACCCATTTGTGTACCAACAACTTTCTGAAACAGGAAAGAACTTGCAGTATACAGGCAATGACTGTTAAACAATGGATCTACATTGTGCTTCATCAGTTTTACAATGTTAGAAATGAATACCATTTCAAGCAATGGCTAAATCAGTTTTATAATGGTTGCTATATGAATGCTTTTCTGTATTACACTAAATTAACACTAATGTAAATTATATAAATCAAGGAAACACTAGCGTCCAACATGCATGGTGTTGTCAGACTTCTGAGCAATAATAGTTTACCTACGATTTTATCACATATTGTATTAATTTTACTTAGGTATGCAAAATTGTTTCAAACTATTTCAGATTTATATTTCCAGCAACACAATTAGCAACATTATCCCATAAATCTACAAAGAACATCTGCTTTAATGCACTAAGTATCTCAACTGATGAGGTAGCAATGCTGCATAACCTCCAACCCCGCTGGTCATCAGCTACCTCATGATAGCTGAAGTGCCACTAAGACAATTCCCAGGTATATGATTTCTTCCCACTTGGAGGATTCCCAAATGGATTATTGCTAAAATCATCCAAACATCACAAGTTCTACTATTAGAAATACAGTATTTTTATAGGAATATATTATGATTTATATTAGGTTGAATGAATTATAGGAATATAATATGAATTGAATTCTGAATAACAAAATACAACAAATTATATAATGAATGTTATTTTATTATAACGATTACTGACTGTTTCTTTCACACTTAAGACCTAACTAAATGACTTGACTATTTCCTCCTGCTTTTGCCATGGCGCTAATATAAGGTAGCTAGTTAAGTGACCCAGCCACAGGTTACGTGACTATTAAGTTTGTCAACCTGACTTGCTGACAGGATCTACAAATACCCTCTATACTTTTTTTTTTCATGAATCCGAATACAGCTATAGCGAAATATCTTGATACAAATGAATAACATTTAATTATTTAATATAATAATTAAAATTGGGAATCGTCCAAATGAGATGGCAAAACAGCACAGAAAAGACAACCTTCAGAAATCATCCAAGTGGGATGACACCTGACCGAGCCTGGTTGGAAAGCTGCAAGAGCAAGCGGTTGAATTGATGAGACGGAAATTTTAGCTCATCGCAGTGCAACTTTGGAACCACTTGGTTATTGGATTCATCCTGAATTCAAATAGTTGAATTCATTAAAATAAATAAATTAAGCTGAAATCCAATTACGAGGTACAGTCTACAGTATTATGACTTTTCGATAAATATCTACCAATTTAAAAACTTTTAAATCATGCTATCAGTGAATTATGCCTTGAAGTTGCCTACTGACCTGCAACAGCACAGGCTGTACCATGAGACCCAAGAAAGAAGTGGAGAGAGAGAAACAATTTCACCATCTTTATCTGGGTTGAGAGAGGATCCCATGGTATATTTCCTTCAGGATCAGGTCCAATATCAACTCTGAGGACAAACATCATCATATTAAGGAACATAATTAAACACACACACACACATACATATCATTACTGTGAGTACTATTTCACATACAATGGAGCAGTGAATGTAAGTCAGTTCCCAAACAATTTGATTAACGACCATTTTCTCATCTTCATGTGTCAAAAATGAACAATAAAATATTTACTGGACAACTGTGCATGATGACAACAGTGAAGCAATCATAATATGCTCAAATGGGTAAGGTTGGTTAATTCCTTATATGGAAAAGAGGCAAACGACAACCATTTGTGCTCCTTGATTAACTCTACTGCTAATCATGAAAATAACATGACAATACCTTTCACAACAAAGGCTACATAACTTTAAGAAAGTATGCATAATCTGTTGATCATTGTTTTTTAAACAGAAGGTTAAACCTCCGAAATCATGAGTCGAACGAGTCATGGAGTCCAGAATTTTTAGTTTTTGGCATGCTGGGTCTGGACCCCTTTGGGTGAGTGGTAGATCATCCAGAGTCCAGGCCAAAAGTCTATCAAATTCATTTTTTTAAAGCACTATAACTGCACATTGAGACATACAGCTACAGTATCAGATATGGTTGTTATAAATATTCTTTGTAAAAAGGCATATCATATATAGCCAGCATAGTAAATGTCCAGATTTAATAATGTATGTGTTTATATATTTACAGTACATCTCTATTTATGAGTCCATTTTAATTTCTTCAGATGACCAAAAATTCTCTTGCTCCTAGAGATATCTATTCTCAGAATATAGCAAGTATGTCTGACAGTAAACTGTTTTTAACAAACAACTGAGTCGAACAAACCAGGTAATGGTGGAATTACATTTGGATCAGCTCAGTGGTCGATGACCAATATTCCCTCGCTTTAGAATTTCCTTTGGTTTTGAGTTTTCAGTTTCAGAAATTTCAGATAAGTTATCAACCTGCTATACTCTCTAAAGCAAAATGAGAAAAAAAGAATTGAAAGTCAGTTTTCCTCAAGAACAAATCAAGTGCTTATAGAAAAAGTAAAAACTGGTGGCTTCAAGTGACAATGATGTCTTAATTATCCTGAGAGAGAACGTAATATGTATGATTGAAAAGCCATCACAAATATTTTCTGCTACTACAATATGCTTCATCACTCAGTCTAATCAATCTTTGAATATTTTTAATAAAACAAGACATTCTATATAAAAAGTTTTACTCACATCCCAATCTGATGTAAATAAATAAACAACCTTCATAAAACTTACTGTGACTCAGTGTTAGAAGATGGTGTCTGTTTTCCTGAGAGCTAAACTTCGTGTCAAAAGCAAACTTTGTGATTTTCTGCAAATGTGGATTTGTTTCTGTTGGACAAGAATTCATGATTAGCATTAAGATCTGCTGTAACACAAAGACAAGTTAAAAGGCTGCTAAACTCATGTTTTCACTTTATTTTAACATGACTTTCATATGTTTTGTACTATGTACAGTATAAAACTTGTAGGTGACTTTCATATACTTGTAGTGTGTTAAAATTTACATGTACAGTACTGATTTCTCATTACTTATTGACCCTATACAATATGAAGTTAGAACCTTTACTCTTAAAAAGCAATGGCACTTATTCCTTCACTGTTATTACAAATATAATACTGCACTGTACAGTTGAAATCAATATCTTACCTCAGTAATTCTACTACAAAGATGAACTTTAGTAGTGAATGATAAAACGGGCAGTACTTTCAGCAAGCTACATAGCTCCCTCTCTGAAGATGCTGAAGTTGCGCAGAACTCCATACACTCCTGCCATTCTTACTGATCTGTAAATGTAAAAAATACTGTTATCAGGTTACAGAACAAAAATATGTAATGACAGATGGTAATATCATTAGTAAATAAAATATCAACAGATATTTTTTGGTTTATAACTGGATCAGACTTTTGACTTATTAAAAATTGCAGTTACAGTATGGTACAAAACTACTGTACCTGGGAAGGCTAGATTAGGTAACATAAGGGTGATTAATCTTCAGGTGGGATAAGCTTCAGGCCAAATCTTGAGGTGATCAAGGTCAGATTAATAGTATACTGTACAGTAATCCTGAGCAGTATGAACGCTTGGGTTAGAAATTCACCTCAGAAAATTTGTGAATTAGCTATGACCACTAAATTTAGGACAGCTACTGAACGAACAGCTATCTTTCCAGAAATAGTACAGGTAATAATTGTAAAACTTTTACCTTTTAATACACAAACGGACGGATATTTTTTTAATCATATCCGCCACTTATCAGCTCACTATCAGTTTGGGGTCTATCCAGTGGTAGTACAGGAAACAATCCAGACCGAGGCTCGAGCCCTTGACATACTGGTGAGAGTTATGTGAGTTACCACTGTACTACCAACGAAACTGAACAACTCCTACTGCTGATAGTTATCTGTTCCACCTTTATAGAACTGACGGTAAAGGTGTGGAAGAAAGTGACCACCAGAAGGAATTGTCCGAATTGTAATTTTCACACACTAATATCATATTAAACACAAAAATAGAAACGATAATGCATAGAACCTAATAGAACCTAATAGAACATGAATTAAGCATTATATGAACACAAAAAGATGAATATATGAGGAAAATCTTCTCACCTGAGTGTTAATTTCAGTTACCTCTGCATCAGTACTAGAGGGGTACAACTTTACTTTTTTTTTTTATATTATCAACTTATCAGCTGTTACTGAAAATTATAATTTTATATGATCGAGTAATAATTTTGTTTAATAGAAGTTAAAGAAAATATTAATGACTGTAGTTAGTCATCCTGTCAAGTGTTTACAGTTTACTCTTTTGTTTACCTTTATCTCTCCTCCACTGATCGGTCACGTCTTTGTTTTTTTTTAGGTTAAGGTGAGGAGAGGATGGAAGGCCTGCTGAACCTGCTCCAGTGTTTGTTAAGTCTGGTCTTGAAAGAGGTCACACTGGTGCCGTCACAACAATAAAGGTTACCTCTCAGTTCTCTGGTTTTGGGGCTGCTTCAGTGTTGAGCTGCCGACCTCGTGGGGCAGCTCCAGGTGAGGTAGTGCCCTGTGAGATGCTTTTAAACCTCTATTGGGTCTCCCTTGTCCGTCTGTAGTATAAACTAGGCAGGTTCAGGCGCTCAATCTCTCATGGTAGCTGTGGTGCCTGTTCCTGGTAGTAGGGCTCAGTGCCAGATTAACCATGAGGCACGAGGCACTGGCCGCAGGCCCCCGACTCTAAAGGGCCAAATCCAAACATTCGAAACCAGCTGAAGCTGAAGCGTATAAAACATGAACTTCGTTCAACGGTGCCTAGCAAAGTCTCAATTTTCTGTCTTTTACATTAAATGTGTTATTTTGCAGAAGCTTAATATTGATGAAATTATTGATAAATTTGGGTATATTTTGTTCTTGTTATTTATATATACCTTGAGGGCAGGGGCCCCAAAGTTGATCTGTGCCTCAGGGCCTATTAAACCAACGGCCCTGAGGGGGCTCTTTTTTATTTCATATTTATTGTATTTATTCTTCAATATATATACTTGCTTCATATCTATATTTTCTATTAATCTTTTATGTTTATAAGTATACAGGTATATCTTATATTTCTTTGGTTTATATTTTATAAGTTAATATTCTTTTCTATACTTTATTTCTTCTGTCACATATATTACGTATATCTTGTGTTGTCAATAGTAAAGTCAATTGACACCCTGCAATTAATATTAAATGAGACAAAGTCAGATCAGCAACCTGGGACTTGGTCTTATGTTATGCCATATGGCATCAGAGGGTCCCATTAGACAACACAGTATCAATATCTTCCCAGTTTGTGCTGCCTCACTACCTGTTGGAAAAATGTCCTCCCACACAGATAGCTATTTCATACTGGTGAAATTTCTAACAGTCCTCTGACAGGGTGTTCCGAAGTTACCAACTCTCCTCCAAAAAGTTTGCCTTGACAATTTTTTTAACTTGTGGCTTCTTTGACCTTAGCTGTGACCCATATGGCGAACTCTTATCCATTTACTCTCGACTGAGTAAATGACCTTGAATGTTTATGTATATTAAGTCACCCTTGCCCCACTATAGTATACCTGTACAAAATGAAATTTGCATTTTTCAATCAATATGGCTCGATTTGAGCAATGTGTTTTCTGATGGTTTTAGATATTTTTAAAACACTTCTCATCGATGATGTTTCCTCTCAAATGACCTAAAATTACCCAAAACTTTCTGGCGGAGGACTCCTCCCCACCGATCCCCAGGTATATTCAAAGTGTTACTTGAGGAAACATCATAAAACATTTCTTAAAATTGTCAAAACAATCAAAAGCATTTTTGCTCAACTTGAGAGCCATTTTGCTGAAAATGAAATTTACACTGTATACTGTACTGTACTGCACTGTACTGTACTGTACTCTGGGCAACTGCAGGAAGTTCAATCTCTGGGTAACTGAGATGCTGTAGTGAGAGCACCTGTCTGGTGGTCCTCCTTTGTTCATTTCAATTAACTGAGTGTCTAGCTCTAGCATCTCTTGAGGACTCTCACAATGGTCCGAGAACTTCAGTTAGTTGTAGACATACACCCAGGTCCTTTTCACATTTGGTTTAGTTAATGATGCTTCCGTCACCGTTGGAACATGTAACACGTCTTCTTACTATTGGCACAACCAGTGTGTATCCTTTTGCATTTCATGACATTTAGTCTCAACAGCCATTCCTCTGGCCACTCCTGAATGACTGCGTTAATATTGAGAAAGTTGCCATAGCGAACTCTATATTGATTCTTTTACAGTATAGGGAGATGAAAAGAATACTTAACTGTACAGCTCCTCGACTTACGATCTACTCAACTACGACCACTCGCACTTCTAACTGGCCTCAGTTGTACCAAAAATTGTCAATACGTATTTTCGAGTCCCAATGTCGGTA